ATCTCAAAATTAGTGGGTTTGAGCCCTGCATCAGGCTCTGTGCTGATAGCTCAGAGCCAGCTTGCTTCAGATTCTATCTCTCCCTCCCGCCTCTACCTCTCCCCCACTTGCACTCTGACTCTCTCTCTCTCTCAAAAATAAACAAACATTAAAAAAAATAAAGTGACAATTTGCAGAGCATAAAACAAACAAAAAAACGAAGAAAAGAAAGAAAAAAGTTTGACAACATGCAACACTCTCATTATGAATGTAAGACCATAGAGGAGAAGAAACACTGGTAGACTCTTTAAAAAAAAAAAAAAAAAAATTAACGTTTATTTATTATTGAGAGACAGAGAGAGACAGCATGAACATGGGAGGGGCAGAGACAGGGTGAGACACAGAATCCAAAGCAAGCTCCAGGCTGTCAGCACAGAGCCCGACGTGGGGCTCGAACACAGAAACTGAGAGATCATGACCTGAACCGAAGTCGGATGCTTAACTGACTGAGCCACCCAGTGGCCCAACACTGGTAGACTCTTAGATTGATTGCTTAAGGACTTTTGTAACTTAGAGCCCAGATCTTCTGATTTAATTCTATTGGAAACTTAATAGAGGAAAAAAAAGCCATGGTTCTTTAAAGTCGTCTTCCGTCTTATGGCAAGACTACATTCGTTATTATTATTACAACATACTTTTCTAGTGCTTTTACAATGAACTTTTTTGTAAGGAAGTGTCACATATGAAATGAAAGACTTTCCTACTTCTGACTAAGAAGCTTCAAATTATTCACTCAGGCCTCAATTTTTCCATCAGGATATTGGACTAGATGATTGCCAAGGGCTCTCTAGTTCATACACTAAGATTCTCATCAAGTAATTTTTAGAGAATTTTTTAGTAGTTCCTATATTGTAGGATTTGATCAACTTTTCAATGTCATTTGTGTTTTAGAGCACGGATTAAAAGACTAGTACTCTAAACCTGTGTTATTTTTTGCCTACAGCTTTATTAGGCCTAAAAGGACACAGTGGTATTCATTGTTAGAACATGATATAGAAAGTAGTTTTTCTCTAAATTTTATATTATCCACCTATCATGGCATCTAACAATATGGGGAGAATCTCTTTGAGCCTCTGACTTATTTTGTTGGTTTATATTGTGCTCAATTAACTTAACTATATTTGTGTTAGAATGAGTTCTAGGAATCTCAGATTTCATATTTCACAGATTTATCTTTTGCTTCTTATATTACGCTGTCAGAATTGAAGTTTAAAAATTAATGTTAATATTCCCTAATCTCTTAAGTTGTCTATTATGCCTACTAGGAGCAAACCAGTTGTTGCTACAGTATTGAAATGCCAGTCTCTTTGACAGGCATTTTGTGGATCCTTTCAGGGTACTAAGTTTTTATGATTTGAGGTGCCTCATTTATGCAGTAGATAGCGTGTCAGTCTCATAAATTTCTATGATTTGACTGGAGGTTTGCATAAATTTTCCCATGGGAGCCCTGGACTTAGAAACAGGAAGCATGTAAAAGTTTTATAACAGATTCATGAGGTATGGGGAGGATGGGATTGGATCTTTAGTTATGCCAAGGCAAATGTTTTTTGACAGTTCACATTTAACTGTTAATTCAGAGACTTTTTAAGTGCCTAATAAGTTATCCTGAAACATTTAGCTCTGTGTGGTTAACAGGCCAACTTAATTTTAAGTACTATAAGTATAATATCCAGATTTAGGCATTCATAAAAATGTTCTTTAAATTTCTCATTATACAGAATTTTTGTTTCTTCTATAGTAACTTTGGGAGCAAGAAAATACCTACCTTACCTGGTACATAGTAAGCGGTTGCTAAAGGATAGTTGAATAAATGCATCCATTGAAAGTATTCAAATTATAGATTAGAAATTATGAGGGACTTCTTTACACACATTTTCTATTTAAAAAATAACTCATGGGGGAACCTGGCTGGCTCAGTTGGTAGAGTGTGCAACTCATGATCTCGAGGTTGTGAGGTTGAGCCCTGCGTTGGGTATAGAGATTACTTAAAAATAAAAAGGAAAAAAAAAGGAAATAACTCATGGTCTGTAAGTATGAAATGATTTCAAAATATTAAGTTAAAAAACTCATGCAAAAGAGTCTCTTGGTAAAGTATTGAGGGTGTTATTACTAGCCATCTTTGAGAAGGAAGGGTCTTACACCTAGACAACAAATCTGGAAGATTTGCATTTGGCACAAGCTGAAGATATGCTTGTGTTTATGAGGCAGAATCCAGAAGAAGTCTAGGATTCTTATTTTACAGAGCTGTTTATTTATTTAATTGAAATATAGTTGACACACAATGTGATATTAGTTTCAGGTGTACAGCACAGTGATTTGACAACTCTATATGCTGTGCCATGTTTACCACAAGTGTAGTAGCCATCTGTCACCATAAAACTCTGTTACAATACCATTGACTATATTCCTTATGGTGTACCTTTCATCTCCATGACTTATTCATTCCATAACTGGAAACCTGTACCTCCCACTCCCCTTCACCCATTTTGCCCACCCGTCCCACCCCCATTACAAAGCTATTTAAAACATTCAAATAGAGATATTCATTGGTTAAAGTGAAAGCATGTAGAATAATAATTAAATTTCTTGGTAAATAGTCCTTGAGTTTTCTTAAACCTGGAAGGAGCTCAAGATTCTGTTCAGCTTTAGCTTAGTGATCCATCTTCTCATTTTATAGTTTAGAAATCTTAGGTCCAGAGAGATTATATCCTGCCAGTCATACAAGGGAAGGTTACTACTAGAATTTGAGGCACACTTACCCTGCCATGCTTAGCCCAGCCCTCTTTCCATTCTGTCACCCTGGGTTTCACTATCATAAAATAATGCTAATGTCTTTTCTCAAGCTATACCTAGTTAATTTTACTAGTAATCATTTGACATTTGTATTGAAAATATTATTAAAAATGGATTCTGCAGTTAGGAAATCATTGCATGGGCATTAGGCTTTATTTAATTTCCTTATGTGGATAGTGCAGCACCTGTGATGGTGCACAAGTTGTGAACCAGGACGTCTGTATTTTCCATTTTTTGTTTCCTTGTTTGGTTTTGCATTGTCACTTTTTAAAAATATTTATTTATTTTTGAGAGAGAGAGTGTGAAGAGGGGGAGGGACAAAGAGAAAGGGGGACAGAGGATCCAAAGCGGGCTCTGCACTGACAGCAGCAAGCCTGACTGTGGGGCCAAACTCAGACTACAAAGATCATGACCTGAGCTGAAGTTGGATGCTTGGACGCTTGACCAACTGAGCCACCCAGGCACCCCTGCATTATTATTTGTAATAAAAATTTTTCATAGTGTAAGTAAGAGAATAATGTTAAATTAAAAAGTATATTATTATCAGAACATTTACAGTTTTACAACAAAGAGTAGGAAAGTGACAAGAAAGACTAAGTGTGTAGCTAACTACATGCAAGATCTTGGGCAAATCATGTAACCTTTGTGGGACTGTTCCTGCTACTTACTTCATTAGAATCCTTCAAGGGTTCTGCCCAGTACAGATGTATCTGTTCTTAATATTTGTTAACTCAAGTATAGCACACACAATGCAAAGTGCACAAATCATAAGGATAATGAATTGTAAAATGAACATGCATAACCACTATTGATGTATTTTGAAAAAGCTTTCTTAATTATTATGAAAGCTTTCCTTTAAAAAAAAAAAACACTGGATTTGAGACTATAGGTAATCTCATGGTTTTTTTTTTTTAATTTAATTTTTTTATTTTTTAAAATTTACATCCAAATTAGTTAGCATATAGTGAAACAATGATTTCAGGAGTAAATTCCTTAATG